GATCAATTGTCCAATTGCAGAATAATGTATGATTGACATGTTTATCTGAAAAGCTGGGAACACCTCATCAGTGCAATTGTAGCTACGTATTTTCACCAAAAAATGAAGAGAATAATGTGATAGAAACCATTTTTTATTGTCATATACATATACACGAAATTTGACTTCTACATTTGACCCATCTCTGTATATAGGGAGCAGTGGGCTGCCAATGACAGGCGCCCGGGGAGCCGGGGGTTCAGTGTCTTGCTCAGGGACACTACAACACGCGACACGTCTCAGTCGAGGATCGAACCGTTGACCCTGCAGTTACCAGACAACCCTCTTAAGCCAGTGAGCCACGGTCGCCCCCTAATTGTAGATGTAAAGCTACAGAATGCAGCTTTACAGGTGCAGCAGTAGATTTCAGGGTTATTGCAAAGTCTAAACAAACAGCCCTGGCAATCAAGAGCAGTGGGTTACCTAATCTTGTTTTGTTTCCTCTATCCTCTAAAGTACTAATTAAGTTGGATCAACGTAGCAATTGATTGAAAATGACACTTCACTCACTTCATTATGCGAGACATGAGTGGAAAGATTGCTAATGATCACAGGAAACCTCAGTGAAGTGGAATAAAACAGTCAGACGGATGGGAAATATAATCCACACGTATCAGACCATCGCAGGCTCTTTCAGTGGCTACAGCAGCTTGTCGGGATGGCTTCCATCCAAACATCCATGACTGCTGCAGAAGGAGCTCTATCAATGCAGAGCACAGAGCTTGGAAGAAGAAATACATCACTGGAGGTGTAGTGCCTAATAGCTATATTATTCATTTGTGGAGGTAGACTACCATCACATCAGAGGGATTTTGGGCTACAGCAGCATGTGCTCTTTGCTGCATTTTTAATTCCCCAATTAAGCACAGTTTTTTCTAACCATCATCAATAATTATCCCCGTGAGCACAGCAAGAGCATTTATTTCATTAGAAATGATTGCTTCACATCAGTCTGGAATGACATGAGAGTTAATTCAGGAACTTGACGAAATGTCATAATGCAGTGAAAACAAAAAAATGAGTGTCGATTATCTTCAGGGCGTTAATCTATTTTTCCACATCTAATGCCATTACTTATTTGCTTTGCTTTTTCTTTTTCATTCTACACTCTGTTAAAGGGGATCAAGCATAATGCTTCTGCAAATGCACATTAAGGTACTCCAACTGTTGTGCTGTAATTAAACTAGAACAATAAATCAACACGAGTGCAATCAAAAGCTAACTACAGCCTACATTGGCCCAAACCGTAGAACGACTGATAAAGGAAGTGAGAGGAACCAACAGAGAAGATGTGAAAACCTGCAGAGATATAAAAAAGGGGGAAATGATGCATAGTCCCGTTCCTCAGGGAGTCTGATGGTGAGTATGATATCATCCCACACACACACACACGCACACACACCTTAAATAACTTTTAATCAAATTTTAGAGTGCAGGTTTCGAGGGTACTTGCAATGAGGTTCATAACCAAAGCACACAGGAAGGTGACATGTGATGGAATGATACGAGCTCCCACTGTCTTAATCCTCAATGCATTGGGCTGATGTGTAAAATACGAAGGCAATATTTCTCATCAATTTATTATTACAAAATAGAGTATCCGTTTCAACTTTTACAACCAATACATTTGCTCAGAACAAAACTAAGGATTCAAGAAACTTTCTAAACCATTTGCTCCACTATTTGCCATGCTCGAATTTCTGAGCAAAATTGTTCTCCAGTCTTCAAACGGCTCCCTCCAGCAGAAGTGTGCAGACTGTAGGATACACAGTGAAGGATGTGGGAGGTCTGTGAAACAATGGGCGATGTACGCTATCGCTGTGCGTGTCTAGCTCACTGAAATGAAGTCTGTTTTGCACCAGTAGCTTCTAGCTTTAGGCTAACCCTACTGTGTGCATTTCTTTTACACTCGCGTGCATGGAGCAAATGCCCTTAATAACGATTTAGCTGCTACGGCACGCTCGTCTGTCCCCCATTCACAGCCTTAGCCACTAATTACATTTCCAAAGTGATGGACATTTCTGTGTTCCCTCAATGCTTCCCCTTTTCTCAGTACAATCAGCCAGCTGCCTTCCCTGGTGGGAATTAGTGCTCTGCATGGGCCTGAAACGAATGTCCAAAATCAACTAATGTCAGCCAGTCCCCCCCCAACCCGATGTTTGTTCATTGTTTTGTCCACCCTCCCTGGATACAAATCTTTTACATTAAGAGATCCTATCTTCTCCAAATTACCAGCCTACCTCTTAATAAGAAATCACACAACTGCACACAAAAGCAAAGCTGGATATTCCCTCACAACGGTTATGTTGAATGTTAGTAAGTATCATGTCAGCCTGCAGCTTCGACTGTTTACATAGTTACAGGTACTTTTTTGTCAGATAAAAGACATACGGCGCCATATAATTTAACTGAGCAAAGAAATTAACCAAGTCTGAAACAAAACGTCTCAGTTAAAAAATATATCAGAACCAGAACTGGAGTCTGGGCTTAAGACTGGTTCCTCTAGTCAGAATGTGATGAATATGGAAATTGAAATAAGCAATCATGAACTAAAATCAAAGATCTGCACATACACAATGAAAAAGGGATACAATAAAGATGGATGTAAATATAATGCAGCTGGTTTCCCGCTGTGTTTTATAGCAGTAGTGGGACACCAACTACTAACATCATGAAAAAATGTATACACCTTTATGAAAAAACAAACATAAACCTTTCAGAGGTCTTTGCTCTCTTTCTGTATTTATTTATTTTTTGCCTTAAACCATGGGACAAGCAGTGCCAAAGACGAAATATTCCATCAGTATAATAAATTTCAGAGCTGTGATTCACTCCAAGAGCAGAGGGACCACGTTTGATATTTGCTATGGGCTGTTTTTGGACCTTGAAACCTGTAAATATAATTTAACTCGGTGCTCCTCCCTTCCTGAGCTCTTCCAGTGAGGTGCCCTCGATCAAAGCACATAACCTCTATTTCCCACTGGAGCTGCTCGATGGCCAACAGAGGGCTGTGTTTGCACCGTGTCCACGTGCATAGCTGAATAGGAAGCAGCGCTCCTAAAGAACATTGATGTCTGCTTATCAGAACTGTTGCCCGCCAAAAAAACACATCTCCTGGTCGGCCCAACACGGAAAAAAGCAGGGGTGACCCCAACTCAGAATTTACATAGTCAAATCTGATTGGTCATATTGTCGAATTGGGTTTTTTTTTTGATCATTGATCACCCTCTGTTTAAAACTTCTCTATACAGGATTCAGAGTATTAATATACCAGCGAACTGTTATTTGCAATGTAAAGACATAGTCGGGTAATGTTTACCGGAGCAGAGAATGAAGTCACTCTCCCTCAGAGTGGTGGTAATCTGAGTTTCTCAGTGCTTTGTTTACATAGTGTGTGTTACAGCTGATTACAGCATCCTGAGGCATGGCGGCGGCATCCCGGAAGCGGCTAGCACCGTTAGCGGCTAGCCACTGGCTCAGCCGTCTCCATGTTGAGAGCCATGTGGAGGCAATAGATATGCTCTGAATTCCGTATAGAGAACATTGAAGTTGTATTTATATACAGAGAGACAAATAGCAAAAACAACAACATTGTTGGTCAAGATACATGCGACTATCGCTCAGCTGGTGTTTCAGAATAACGGACCACGCCGTTTGTTTTTACAGCCACTGCAATGATCAGGCACCTTCGATAGAATTGTCCATTATTTGGGCTAACCCTATAAAAAAGCATCCTATATTTGAACAAAAAGGGATTTATACTGCAGAAGGAGCTTTTTCTCATTGATTTTCTTTTCCCCTGTGGTTTCTAAATATTGAATATATACAGTAAGTAAGTGGATACAAAACTAGTTTACTGCAAAACATTGCATGTTGGTAGCCTTTAGAGTGAAGATTTAAAAATGATAATTGATGTGTTAACCGTATGTACAAAATGCATTTTACAGTTGAAATTATACTGTAAACAAACAGTTTACAGTATAATTGTTGTTTCAATTAACAAATGAAATAAAAAAACATCTGTTTTGGTTCATTTGTTTTTTGGAGACAACTTTCTAAAGCTTATAACTGTGCTGCTCCCTATTAAAGACAATTAATGTGCCGTTTTCACTTGAAAAACACAACTCTACACATATGCAATCACATACTACCACTGTGAGAATATTTACCAGCATTTAAGTGCACTCAATGAATCATTCATCAGAGCATACATCTGACTGTTCACTTTGGGCTGCCACTTCCGACCATCTTTCCAGTTTGTTAAGGTGGACAGCGGAGAGATCGAAGGAGGAGACGAGGCTAAATTCCTTTGGCATTAAAAGGATGCATATTACCAATAATAAAGGGAATAATTAAAACAACTAATCTAGCTAGGCTTTCACAGGCCTAGTGTATTTCTTATAAAATACACTTAAATACAAATGGAGGTCTGCTGAAGACAGCTGCCAACTGTAAATATGACATCCTATAGGTCACAATCGTCCTTCAGGCAACTTGTTTGAATTTTGTATTTTTAAACATCACTGGTTGAAGAGAAGTAGGGTTCACAACTAATCGCAAAGTTTTTTATTAAATGAAATGCACATGAACTGATAGGCATGCATTTCAATCCACACAAACCGTATGCCTGATCTGTAACCGGTAATAAAGAAAAATACGGCTGCAACATGAAGATCAATTTGCTTTGTTGTATGTCAAAGTGTTTTCGTTTTCATTTTCTGGTGAATTAGTGTAATTGGAGTTACTACAGGCAATGAAAACATACAGTACAGGTGCAGAATTATGTAAATGCCAATTGAGCCCTTCTGGCTACAGCAGTGAGGAGGAAATAGGGGTTTCTGGAAAAAAGGTAGACAAAAACATTAAAATGATGTGCAAGACACAGCCGAGGTGAACGGGTCAAAGAAAATGCATTTCCCCTCCAACTGAGGTCCCTGGTCAGCAGACAAATGAGAGCTCACCTGAATAGGACCAATAGGGGTCACCAGCTGCCCTCCTCTCCCTCATTACGCCTGAGGTCCCATGGTGCCTGTCTTCAGCATCGTGAGGTTGGCCAGCTGATGCAACTGTGGGAGGCAGACACAGAGGTAAGAAACTCCACAGGAAGAGAAAGGTTTAAATTAGAACCTGAACAAATACTTTGACAGCGTATACAACAATCTATTTAACATGTACATGGCTGAAGTCAAAAGTTGGCAACAAAGTGACAGATGTATAAAGAAAAGGATACGTTAGATTTACAATCTTCAGTGCCTATCCTGAACGAAATGTCAGTATGAAGGTTGGGCTGATGGATAAGTGTGTAATGTGCCCAACTTTGACCCTGCACACTGGGGTCCATCCCCTCTCTCCTAGGGATGGGCAATAACTCAACAGCATCGTTTCTCAGATTTCAGCAGTATTTTGATGATGCTAAAATCTTGATATCGGATTTAAAAAATGTACACGTAACTATACTGTACTTGTCATGTGCAGATTCGGGCAGGAATGATTTTAAGAAAGGAACTGAATTGAAAAAAATGTAACCGTGTAGTTACGGAACAAAATCCATGGTTTTTCAGAGCCATCCAATATTAACATGAATGGGGAGTAAATACACTTAAATAGAACCAATTTAAAAAAAAACTGTATATGCTCAAACTTGTAGATTACAGTTGAAGTACCGCTATACTTCAGTTTGATAGAAACTTTCAATCAAAGTGCCTCAAATCTCCTCTCAAATTGCAGCTGTTGCAGCTACTCTCAGGAGGGACTGCAGCCCCCCCAGTGCTGACAGTGACTGAAAAATACTTTTGACTCGAGATATATCTCGGCTTGGCTATTAAACCAAATTTCTGTTTCCTGAACTTCCTAGTCTCACAAACTGAACCAGTGCATGCCGAAGCACGAGTTCAGTGGTGACGATGTGCAGGAAACAATCCTTTGCTTTCAGCCCAGATGACATCATTTGACTCCATGCCTTAGTATGTTGTGATGATCTTCACCGTCTGGGATCAGCAGAAAACAAGAGGAGCATCTCCTTTGGCCCCTATGACGCTTCGTGCTCTCTTACAGCTACAATAAAGCTAATTATTTTACAGCAGCTTCTGGGCTCGAAAAAAATAAAATAAAAATTGAAATAGACGGGACGGTCAATATGTTCACAAAATAAGCATGTCGGGCTGAAACTCCAGTAGGCCGTACTTGATTAATAGAAATCATTGATGCAATTTCTTTGGAAAATGATTGATGTAAATTCTCTGCATCGAGGCAATTTGTTTTTTGAGACGGTGGTTGAAAAAGCCTTGAAACCCAGAATGCAATATGGCACTTAAATGAACTAACTACCGTCTAGTTTGACAGATAATAATATGGTATGCAATTTAAGCAATACAAATATTGATTTTTTGAAAAGAAAATCACTTTGTTGAGTTATTTTCTTTTTTGCATATGTACTATGGCTCCTAAATAAAGCACAAATATATTTTGTTATCTGATTACTCCATGGAATAAGGTAGAATAATCGATCACTAAACTAATGGATAGCAGCAGCCCCCATACGCATGCACATTATAATGTCACAATGGCTTGCCTCCTACGCTTTTATGTGGAAACTTCATTCAGCAAAATGCAGACAATGTATGTTATCAGGAGTGTTTACAATCAGCCCTCTGTCTTCTGGGCACAAATGTCTCTTGAGCTTCTGAGGGCAAATTGCCCAAAAGAAATCAAACATTGTCAACAGAATTACAGCGAATGCTGGAGGCACAGAGTGTCCTTTCGCATACACACTCGCTATAGTCCCAGACTCGCAATAATCAAACTCATCGGGGGAAATGTGCTCCACAACGGATGCAGCCTGTGCCAGTGGGGAAGAAAATGCCTCTAGCAGAAGCAGTTGTCAATCAGGTGCTCGAGAAAAACAAGAGTGTTTTGTGTTGCTTCAAGGGGTCATAACCCACTGTCGCATTCACAACCCAGAGATGTATTGGCTAATACTGCCTGCCTGTTGCTAGAAGGATGCAAAGAATTGGGTCGGCAGATTGTTTCTGTGAAAAAAGGGGGAATGGCAGGAAAAACTAAAACAAGAGCAGAGATGACAATCTGCCAGAATCAAAACGAAGCAGAAATCACTTTTACCAGCTGCAATAAAGTTTTTTTAAATCCATTCAGATAATCCATGTTGTATCACAGCTTTTTTGTAAAACACGTTACAAATTAAAAATGTATTCACGCGGTTGCCAATGCCAAAATGCACTAAAACTCTTCCCGTATGTCTCAGCATTGAAAGACATCACGAGCAAAAGAGCCGTACCAACCAGAACTATTCCGGCACCATGATACAAATAATATATCCATATCATAATGTTATCTACCAAAACAGATCCGGATTATGCATGTTTTAAGGATTCTCCCAACATCGACAGTTTCAAACACGCGTGACCGAAGTTCCCTTCTCCTACTGTAGAAGCTCGTGCTATGCAACATGACAACTAATGTACATCACGCTTGGTAGCAGTCTCATGAGGTTAAAGGCAACTTCAGAAAAACAGCAGAACTCCCTGGACTCCTGAAGTTAAAACTCCTTAAGACAGTCAGTTGAAGCTCATCAGCATCTGCGCGCACGCGCGCGCACACACACACACCTCCAGCCACTTAAGACAAGCTCAGCTCTTACTAATAGTTGCATCATTACTGTGGATTAATTAAACTAAGCACTATATCAAGCCAAGTCTTTCCCGGTACTTAAAGTCGATGCATTACTGTCCCCACTATGAGCTACTTACAGTGTTTTCCAAAGCAAATTCATTGTTGGGACGGGAGGTCGCAGAGGCAAAATGGGCGAAGTCATGAATGGCTGCTTTGTCATCCTAAGACGTATCACTTCACTGCAGGGAAAACGGTGGTTAACGTGAAGTGTGAAACAAAGATGGACGGTGTCTCTGTGGCAGACACTCGCAGCATATTTTGAAGGCAGGTTGTGAAACAGGAGGGCTGCGCCGTCTTTGATCAGAGAGCATAGGAGACAGCACCATGTCAACAGTTTACTCTCATCCATGTCAGCTGTCCCCTGTGGGCAAAGGATTAAAGCCACAGCATCTCTGATAGAGCGGAGCAGACAGGCAACATAGTCGGCGCTGGGCCTGAAGGAGACGGAGGAGCGCTGCACGGCACTCAAGCAACATACAGAAATCTGAAATCCAGATTATGTAGGTTAACCGATAGTTGAAATGAGATGCTCTATACAGAGAGTTTGGCCCAACGGGTATTTCTTTACATTTAGACTTTTTGAAAGTTAACCTGATTTTTGAATCTGTACGTTCTTAGGAAGCATGGAGGAAAGGAAAAGCTTCAAAAACGCCTACAGAACAACAGCTTGTACAGTGTCTAGGCATACGAAATCATTTTCCTTTCTTCATTGCCCTGAGGGCAGTTAAATCATCTACAGCAGCACGAAGCCACGCTATTTGTTCCACAATATCACACTCAACAACAAGCTAAGAACCCCTGAGAGCCCTTGAAAAACAGCAGCCTAACAACAACCACAGGAACGTTTAACTTCCATTAGTCATTGGGGGCCCGAGTTAAAATATCAATCTTACCACCAACGCTAGCATGAGGTAGGTGAAGGACAGCAATGCCGGCATGTCCGCGTCACCAGGAGGATTGTTTGGGGATGGAAAAGCTACCAAATACATCCGGCATTTACAGCGTCACTCACACATTAAAGTGCTGCTGTTAGGGTGTTTTAAGCAACACATTTCCTCAAGCTCACAATAGTTATGAAAGTTATTTTTTCTCTCTACAGATTGCATATTCGCTTCCAGATTCACTCTATGTGGGACCAAAATACAGCAAATAAACAGAAATGTATTCAGCTTGCTGTCCTAATTGTGTGGTACCACTTCTGAAGAAAATGCATATCAAGAGAGAATATCGCCACCCTCATTATTTACACTAAAATAGTGTTATTGCTTATTATCAACAAACAGAGTCAGATGTGACAAACGTTTGATTCACAAATGTGATTCATGTGAAAATGAGAACTCTAACTGCACAGTAAAAGTGCATTATACGGTAGCTAATGGCGTATAAAGGCTAAAGATAGAAAACATAACACTAGAAACAGACACCGGTGTGCAGATCTCAGGCTCTTCTGCCGCTCCCCATAGACAGCTACAGTTCCAGCTTCTCGTTCATTTCGTATAAAGGCGACTACTATCTAAATATAAAGCACGGAATATCTTCCCTGTCCGTCTGTCCTTCCTTTGCACATCTCGAACCGCTCATCTGATCTACCTCACACTTGGTGGGTGTATTGCTGGGGACCCCATGGAGTGCTTTTTTGAACATTCAATGTAATTAAACTTTAAATAAACAAGCACACAGCTCTCTGTGTAGCAGCAGGGGCGGAGCTTCAGGACCCCATAGCTGCTCTCACATTTCGAAAACGATCACAGCTTATTTTGGGGAATGTAAACTGTTATCTCGCATGAAAACAAGTGCTTTGGGGGGGGGTAAGTTATTTCTGGGTACAATGATTTCAAATAAAAGTACTTTTCATACCTTCACATAATACATTTGTAGTTGTTTGGGGCCCTTTTAGTTTGGCCCCCCCTGGCAGTGACATGCCTGAAGATAAAGACTGCCCCTGGTGTTGTTCCAGGGAAGCAGACAGAAGGCCTATTTCACTGCTGTTCATCCCCGCGAGTGAGAGACGCCACTATGTAATGGCAGGTGTATTCCTGAGGAAGCACGGTGTTGAGTGTGTAGTTGTTTGTAGGAGCGGTTCTTCCCGTTCTGAACAGGCATGTTTTGAACGGCACAGTAAGAATAAATGAACACTAATTAGGGCCGCACACAAGCAGTGAGTCATCAATGAATCTATTATCTCCACCCATCCACAGTGACAGGCTGTAAAGGCTAAAGCTGTCAATATTCTATATTTTGTTATCATCAACAGACCAAAACCCACACCGCATTAGTCCGTCTCTCAATACTTCACAGCAGTTAATAGTGTATTTGTTGGGGACTATTTTCAGCTGCATGTGTGTGAGTGAGTAATTACTGAAGCAAGATGGTGCCT